CCCCATTTTGAAAGTTCATCTAAATATAATTCCACACCTATTAAAATAAAATGTATTGATGTGGTCTAACGCGCGTACGGTGGTTTAGGTGAGTCAAACATTTTATACAGTCCACTACACCAGCCAAACAATCTCGTCTATCGCGATCGGTAAATATCGCAAATAATTATAGTATTTATAGTATGCCAGGTATTTAAAAAAAAAAAAAAAAAAGTAAAATCTGATCAAACAAATGGTAGAGGTGGAGATTGGAATTTAAATTGCCCCATAGGCAATGATAATCCTTGATACTAACGCCATTCATGAAGCTACACAATTTTTTATCCTTCTGACTTCGTTTGGAGAATCCGTGGGGGTGTTCAAAATTTAAAACTCCCTCTTCCCGCAAAATACTCGTATGAATTTCGTATTAAAATTAAACCCAGCTTTTATTATTTCAATCCGTTTATACAACAGTTCTTATTCTCGCGACCTCGTGAGGTTTAAAAAAAAAAAAACAAGATATTTTATATATATATATAATTTACTATCCATTCCTAATCCTCAAAAAAAAAAATTGAAAATAGTGTTATTAAATGCTTAAACGTTAGGACAAAACAGAAATGAAATCAATTTAAAATCCTCGGAGAATAAATCGCAGGTTCGTGTTAAATGTTATAATATTGTACTAATAAAGTAAAATACGCGTCAAAAGCAGTGGCAACGGTATAATAATAAAGCGCCGTGGTTTTACGAACGCGAAGACTTTATAATATCCAGGGCCTCGGGACTCGGGTCAAAAGGGACGGAAAACCCGCGGGTTCGCCAGACCGACGTAGCGGCTCTTTTCTCGTCGCACGATGTTATCATCATTATTATCATTATCATTATCATTTCATGTACACGAGTACTCGTGTATTACGTTGCCTTCGTTGTTACACGACGTCGCCGCGAGCACTCGACATTTTCGCCCGATTCAAAATTATGCATGCCTATACAACAATAATAATTATTATAATACATTACGTCTCTTGCAATGGCGATGGTTCTCGTACGCATTCGTCGGCCACGGTCGCTGGCATCCGTCCACATCGTCGTTGCAATCGTTTCGGCTACGTACGACGAAAACTGTCTGTCAATATGAATACGTTTTCGTTAGCGACGATACACGTCATCGTGTTCGAAAGCAGAATTGAAAAAAACGGCGATAATCAAATCGAATAGAACCCGCGGATAAATCGTACGTGTATGGTCGGACCTATTTGGATTTATGTTTAGCGTATATTATTATTGATCCCTGTCATCAGACCGCGCGGAAAAACGTCCCTGAATAATGCAATACATTTCACGTTTGTTTTTATAATTTTGATTTTAGATTCTAAAAGGAAATCCAGTGATATTTACTCATATCAACGGTTTCTGTTGCTCTCGATTTTGTTTTGTTTTTTTTTTTTGTAATTCAGTTCAAAATAATCGCGCAGACCTGAATAATATCACGCGGGTCTAGGCTTTGAAAAACGTTTAAAATATACTGGCGATCTTAAAGCTATTTATAGGAATTTGATCTTTTTGAGGTATTTTAGTGGTTTTTTAGTGGACTTGTTTGAATGCAATTTTTTTGCATTTATTTTAAAGTGTTCAAAAATTAAACACGATGTTTATCGATATACTATAATTAGCGTAAAAAACAAAAATGAAAAATACTGAGTAACTGTAATGTAATCATGTTTATTTAATAGGCATTGAAGTTGAAATTTGAACGAAAAAAGTAGGTCCAAATAATTTCAAAAAAAGTCCAGAACGAAACATCACTGAAGAACGATTTTAGTTAGGTAGCAATTATTTATCGTTTGATACAAATGTAAAATAAAATTACTCTATAATATTATAATATACAACCTTCTTAGTTTTTTATCTATGACAGTAGTACACCCATTAGCAGCAATATTAGCTCTTTGTAATTTTTATTTTATTTAGAATTTGTGATCGTTAGTTTTGAGAAAATTTCTATTCAACCCAAAAAAATCACGGTTCAAACCATCGTTATACATCTATTTTTTATGAAATTTAAAAAAAGAAAAATCTGATACTGGCGATGGGTGTGCCACGGTATGTGGGAAGTTGAAAAGACAAACTGCAATAAGTTATTTGATTTATATCTGTAAATAACAACCAATTATTGCTAAAGATATACGATTATACGCAAAATTCAATTACACGTGTATTGAAATGCCGTAATATTTAGTGTCTTCATTAAAATTTGATTTTAAAATGACTATAGAAAATTTACTACGTGGTATTTTTTATTATTTTTTTTTTTTTTTTACCATTAAGGACAACTTATAATCAAATTCTTCCTAAAAACTGCTCAAAAATATTTTCAGAATATTTTGAAAATAATACCACGTTTAGAAAAAACCTATATGAGTCTTCTGTCAATATGTTAAGTCCCTAGAAATATGTTTAACTGAATTACAACAAAAGAATTATACTACAAATAATGAAACCATTATTTCTGTGAACTTCTCCGTACTTTCTACGTTTTTTTTTCCAGGTTTTGTTCAATTATAAAGAATACTACAAAGTAAATCAAAAACTTACCGTCTTACTAATTGGATTAAAAATTTAACAAAAAAGCCTTTTGTAATTTTTCGATTAAAACACGATTTTCTGTAGAAAATATAGTTCGTAAAATGTAAAATAACGAATTCGTACGACGTAAATTTGTTCGTTTTCATTTCGCATCTTTTTTTCCAAATTATTATAAAAACTGCTTAGAAAATCAAAAAATGAATATTTCCCCAGAAAGTAGATCCGAAATGCAACAGGAAAGGTCTGTATGCATTTTTTAATTAGAACAGTATTTCCGGTAGAAACTTTTGGTGCGTAAAAATAAAAAACAACGAAATCGAAAACGCCGTGGCGTGCCTTGAATATTTGCTGTGTTTCCTATAATTTTGTGTCCGATTTTTTCCAATTATTTTGAAAACCCCTTAGAAAATCAAAGAATTACTGCTTTAATGTACCATTTTTGAACGGAGCAAGATTTCTTTTAGAAAAGTTATTACACACGTAAGAAATTAAAAAAAAAAAAATAAATAAATCAAATACACATCATAATAAAACCAATAGATCCCTCGGTACTCTGCGAATCTAAAAAAAAAAAAAAAAATTCAAAAACCTTAAAAATACCGATACTTTTCACTGCTGGTAGACAGACAATGGCTATGGTAGTGAAGTGATTGTTCAGCGTTTTACACCGTTCGTGTAATTGACTGCAATAATATTAATTATTATGTGCTGAAAATTTCTTCCGCGCCAGTGTAACGTTTGTTTAATACACAATATACATTAATGTGACCGTATCGGTTACAATTATTGTGATCAGAATACCTATACGCGAGCGATTGAATTCATGTAGCTCCAAAAATGTAAATGATCGCGCAGAATAAAACACAAACGGGTCAAGGATAATAACGGCGTGACAAAACGTTTATCCTTTTGATCCTTTTGATTTCACAGTGTTTTCAACACCACTCAAAGAACTTTTGATAGGTCCTTGGTTTTCAGATGATCTTTTTTTTATTTTTTGCAATCGGGGAAAAACCACAATATTTTTGAACGCTTAATAAAGGGGCAAATACACCGAGGAGTGGATAAAAAAACGATAAACCACCATCCGTTAGCCGTGGTGATGTTTTATATCGAGAATTTCATACAGATCATCACAGATCTTTCTTTTTTTTTTCTTTTTTTTTTTATGGTGAGGGGGGGGGGGGGGGGGGGGGTGGTAGGCTTGTATATTCACGATACACACAAACCATAGCCTATAACCGTAGAAAATAAGAGAATGGATAGGACATACTCATATACTTATCCCGAGAAAGGCAATGTTCCTTGAAATGGCCTCAAACTGAGGCGAATTAATAAACCGATTGAAGTACGTGTTCTTTCAGTATGCGAAAATCCCTTCAATTCTTATAATATAAAAACGAAACAAATTTTGACCACGCATACCAATTGTTTTGTTATTTATGCCTGTGGCGGCACCATGAATTACCGGTCTATGCCATGGTCTATCGTTAACATATTATGCGTTTTAAACTCGCCATGATCGAAAATCCAAAACAATTAATAGGCAATAACAAATACGAAAATAAGTGACGAAACATTAAACGCGCCCACGCCCTGCCTGTATACGGCTATGATACGATAAAAATATATTTTTCGTGATATTCAAAATGGATAATATTCGTAGTCAGGACTGTATATTTAATGCAGTGAAAAACCTTAAAAATGAATCCTTACCTTTACCACACCCGTACACTGCTCGTGTAAAGTAAAATATTAACGTATAAAACATAAATTTGACGTATATTGGCGAAACAAAAAAAATAGTTGTGTAAAAAATGTTAATAGACGGAATTTTATCGAAAATACCGGAAAAAGAGGCCAATAAGTGAAAATACTACTTGAAAGGTCCGAAAAAAATGACCATAAAAATTAAAAACGACAAAAAATGCAAAATAAAAGTTCCATAAATGAATCTGTAGTGACATAATTCAAATCATGTACTTGAAATACTGTGTTTCACAATAGGCTAAAAAAAAAATGCCGTTTCCTACAAATCCACAGCCCTGTTTGGTATATTTGCGTTTGTACGTGTACAGATCGAAATCAGTTCATTAATGGAATTTTATGTTCGCGGATCGCCGTACGGGGTGGATCGTGGATCGTACGCCTTGTCCCCGGCACCCGGAATCGCCGTCGGTGGGATGGGGGAGGTCAGCTGTCGGGCAGGGGAGTGTTGTTCCCCGGCGGCGGGCCGTATATGTGTGTACGTATATACGTACGTACGTATGTATGTATGCGTGCGCGCGCGTGTGTGTGTGTTTAGGGGGGGGGGCGGGGCTCGAGCGCGTCTGGACCGAAAAACGCCGCGGAGCGTGTCGTCGTCGTCGTCGGCGGCGCGGCGCGGCGGCGGCGGCAGCGAGCTGACATCAGTCGTCTCGCGGTTTTTGACACGGTGTGCCGGCAACGCGCCCCGTATCTGTTTACACGCCGGCGCTCGCGCCAAAAAACGGACGTTTCGAAATCCGGCCTTTTCCCCGTCGGTCTTATCAACGTGTCGGCGACCGCGTCCAAACGCCTCGCGATTTTTCCCCGTGAACGTCTGGTGACGTTCGGTTCTATACGTTTTTCGACCGACCTACCCGCGTATCCGCCGGACGACGGTTATTGCCATGCGGCCGGTCCTCGGCGGCGACGACACGTGATAAACTCTCGCGGATTCACGCGCGCGCCAGACTATCACCGCGTCACAGTACGCGCACGGGATATACGTGCTTTGTCCTTGATTTCGACGACGAATTTTTAAGAAAAAAAAAAAAACAAAACAAACATACATACATTTTCATTATTAGCATACCGTCGAAAAGTTTTCGTCGATCGGATTTCGTCCCCGAGATCTCGACGGCGTGCACACTTAACCAGGTAAGCCGGAATAGATAACGGTTTTTTTTTTTTTTTTTTTTTTTTTTTTTTTTTTTTTTTTTTTGGTTGTCCGCCGACTATACTATTTTCACCGGCTGTACATTGGCACGTTTACGATGGATACCCGAATCGCGGAAATATCCGTCCGTTCCAATGTATGGCCACCGAAAACACTGTTCCCCCCATACTCTAAAATGGACGATTGAAATTACATATAATCGTTAATTTTTCGTCAAAAATTCGATTGGCTGGCGGGATCTGGCTGTCTGCTATAATCGATCGAAAATCAATGGGTTTTTCTTTGTCCGGCGTGTTTATTGAAAATATTGTTTAAAAGAATTACAATATTTTTCATAATGCATCACTCTGGCAGTCTCACGTAATTCACCGTACGAAATGCCGTACGTAAATACAATCATATTAGTTATATCCGTTTTTTTAGTTACTTTTGGTGATGTTACACTCGTCAATTTTTTAAAGATAAAATACTGTTTTCAATTTGACCAATTATTAACCCACTGCAGTAATAGTAGTAACTAATATAACAATGCAATTTATTACTAAGTTTTTTTTTTTATGAAGTTTTTCTCAATTTTCATTTCAAAATACACACACTTTTGATATTTGCATGTCCTTATGAAATTCTTTGTACTTTATTGCTCTCTAAATTATAGTTCTACCCGCCCCCTCTTTTCTTATTTCGTCTTATGGTGTTTTATATTCATATCACAATACATAGGTGTCTATTATATATTATAATAATTCGTAGATCCTAAATAGAAAAAAACAATTGTATATCATGAAATACCATGACCCCCCATCCATTAAATCGATTCGAAGACACCTCTGTACATTTTAGATGGGTACCTATACTTCATATTATTTTTATGAAAAATCACTGGCACACTGTCTATGTCTTACACATTACTGTACTTAAACTGTATTTGTTTAAACTGTTACTAATGCAATAGTCAAATGGTGTTTGGCGTCAAAATAAATAAATATCTATCGAAAGTATAATTCGATTATAACATGTGTATTGAAATTAAAATCTAATAATCTAAATTCGTTTAAATTCGAAAATTAGGGGCGTTTCTCCAGCCCCTCCATAGAAAATTGTATTTTTAGAATTTCAATGAATTCTTTACGAACGAAACAAAGCGGCAACATTGCGAAACAATACAAACGAATAGTGAAACAAATTTATTAAAAACCGAATTGGAGGGGGGGGGCGGGGTGAATGAAAATATACCTCTTCTATATCCTTTTTTGTTTTCGCAATAATCGTCAAAAAATTAAAAATATCATTGTTCATTGTGTGAAAAAAGAATTAAAAATTGGTTTTATTTATGGGTTTTGTCGTGCGATGTTATAACAAAATGTTCCATTCCAAAACGAGTATTATTTTCGTGATTTGCATGTAAATATATTGTTTATGATAATTAAAATTTTTTCCACACAAACATTCCGAATGATAACTAGTCTGTTGAACTTTCACATTGGCCGAATAATTAAATATACAGACGTCCGTTATGTGTTTCTGTAGCACTAGGTACCCTGTTGAGAGATGAAACCGATCAATCGACAAGAGTCAGAAACTATATCTGCTACCGTCTCATAATCTGTTTGGAAATTCCGTTGACGTTTTAAAAGGACCTAGATAAAAATGGATTATTATATCAATACGGGTTTCGTGGAAATCACAAAAATTCAACACAGAGATCGATTTAAACTAATAAACATCGAGTGCACCAACTTAAACTGATGACCTTATACGTCTATTTGTCCGTGACAATACGAGTATATGAACTTCACTATAATATAATAATTGATTATTTTATACTCCATAGCAAATACAAATCGAATTGATTATCCTCTCTCCACGACGGTTGTTTTTTTTTTTTATCGAAGAACAAACAAATGTTAGGAAAGTTACTTTTAAAAAGGAATACGTTCCCTGTTGCGGAAAAGGAACTTCTTCCTTTAAGTATTTCTTGTTTTTTAATACTCAGTATAAAGTCCAAACTAATTTGTTACTAATATTCCTAACTTGAAAGTACCAATTGTTCTTATATTCCTATCAAATTAATTATATTAAAATTGTTAGAAAAATGACGATCGAGGACTATCATATCACTTATTATTTTAACATACCTATAATAAAATATCGAAATCGATACCAGCAATTGTCTGGATTTTAGATTCTGAACGGAACAAAGAACGTATTGGTTTTTCAATGATTATTTTTGTTTTCTTTCAACAACTTTCCTACCAGCAATTTCGCTCCGACATACAATGTTAGTACTTTTTTTAGAAAGAAAGTCTGACCGTGGTGGTAAATTAAGGAGGTCATTTTTTTTTTTTTTTTTTTTTTTTTTTGGATTTTCGCAGTTTTTTCGGGAAAATAACACGGAGAATCCGGGAAAAAACGTCGGAAAAACGGGAAAATAGACAAAACATTAAAAAAATATTATTAAAGAAAATATATAATGCATATGCTATTATTTTACCATAATATGACACACACATATATATACACTTATATATTGTTGACAAAGCAACACTATACTAACCAAACTTCGCTCAGAATCTTTTTTCAGATATATATTGCATTTATCATCTACCTTCCCAACTTCTCACGTACAACAATGGACCACCCGCGTGCGAAGTATGTCCGTCATTTTATATTCGATATTGTTTTAAGAATCGAAGGTGTATTGAGTGATTTGGATTTTCTGTCCCTGTATAATGTAATCGTTTTTCTTCGCATTTCCCTAAGGGTTATATTGTATTATAGTATTTTTAATACTTTCCGATATACTGGCGTGGGTCGTATAATATAACACGCGAAAATCCGAAAAAGAAATACTATTATAACAATACAAGTATGACACTGAAAACGTTTGATTTTCAAGAATATTATTGTATTATTTTATCTATCATTTCGTATCATTCATTCAATAATAATAATATAATTATTATCGTTCTAGCGATTTTTTTTTTTAACTTTTTTTTTTTTTTTATTGATATACTCGAATTTTGTAATCGCATTTATTTAATACGTCCCGATTTTGATTATTTATGGTACACATCGTATAAGATCGTGTCTGTCTGACACGCACACATCTCGCGCAAAGCATTAGAAAATGTCCCTTTACTCTTTTCCTGTTTCGAGTAATAACTGTATGAACTTACCGAGTTTCGGCCAATTATATGAACCAACTTGACTGCCGGCAGGCTACATAAATCTCCAGTTCTCTGTACATACAACCGACATCATGACTGTCCGGTCCATCATACTACACCCGCGACAACCTACATACGGTACCCAACCGTTATCTTTTTCTCGGTATATATCGCGATATTTACGAGGTTTATTGATTGTAGTGTCTATTAGGAGATATTTCAACCAATTTCCCTTCGTCCTCTACGCAGACAATGCCCTATAGGTAATACCTGTTGTTTTTTTTTTTTTTAGATTCTCTATAAACGCTATATAGTATACCTACATGGTTTCTTAACCACATTGTTTTTACAGCTTTCAATTTTTGTCTACAAAGTTAGAGATGATATTCCGTACAACGCCATTATCTTGTTTATCATCGTGTCCGATTTTTTTCGATTTCCGTTTATTTTAATAATATTTAGTTTTTTACTAATATTTATAAATCTCTGTTCAATTTTACGTGGGTTTAATAATAATATAAACAAAATTCCATTAATTTCATTCGATGTATAAAACATATTGATGAATAATATTCTTTTTAATGCAATATGCTCTTTCTTTCTCTCTCTCTCTTTCTCTTTCTCTCTCTCTCCCTCTTTCTCTCTCTATGTTTCTCTTCCTCTGCTGACGTAATATTATTTTGCTTGCCAATCTTTTAGTAATCCTATATTTTCCAGTATCGTCGTAAGCCTAGCTTTGTTTCGATTCACTATACAACCCATTTGCTTTCTTCCATGTTACTAAGCTGCCCTTAAACCATCATATCTACCACACCCATATGCCGTTCTTAATAAATGTATAGTCTTTTTCTTGGTTTTCTCTGCGTTATTTGCATTTTCTGATTCGTCATTATAAAGAATGTGAAACATTTATAATGCCCACCTAACTGACTATTGATTGATATTTTCTCTTCGTTGATAAAAAAAAAAAAAAAAACAGAATAATATGCTATAAAAACATATCTCATGTATTACATTGCATTATTTGAGTCGGCAGAAAAAAATTGTTTACTTTAAAACTTTTGTGGTTTCGATCATTTTGGAGAATTCCATTTCAAAGCGTGCTATAATTTTAATCACTAACAACATTAACTGTCAAATTTAATAATATTAATAGTGCTCAGCCAATATGACATCCAAAACATCGATACTCGTTACCGATATAAAATCATAACCAATATTTGAAATTTAAAACCGTGTGAGGAAATATTTGAATTGACCGATGATATATCGGTTAAAAACTATCATAACTACAAAGATATTAAACGTGTTTACATCGAAAAATATTTTTTGAAAAACCAGATATACGATACGAGTACTTCTGATAACCTTAATATCGACCGATATACGATATCAGCTTGTACCTATATATATTTACTTTTAAATATAAGCCTAGTTGACTTTTTTGTAATTCTTATGTACGTAAAACTTAGTGAAATTAAGTTAAACCATTCACCATACATTACTCCGTGGGAAAGGACACTATTGTTGATTGGATTATGGGGAGGTATAATAAATATAGGTTAGTTTAATTTACGTCTATACTCGACGATACATCATTACAAACGCAAAACTCTTCAGAGCGAAGTTTTGGTAAACATTTTTTGATACATTTAAATGGAAAATCGTATTATTTACAATTACCTTCCAATAGCGCATAAATTGAAAACACCAGGATATATTTTGGAATTCGTAACATTTATTAAACGT